ATTTCCTGGCCTGGCCTAGAAGAATCTCCCACATGGTTCCCCAGGCTCTCTCACTGTTCTGTGTCTGGCAGATAGACAGGGATACACAGGAGGAACTTGGAAGCCATGAATTTCTATAACCCTGGAGCGCTGAACGACTGTGTACGGAGCATAGGCCACCCACTCACTCCCTCCCTGACCATGCTCACCATGGGCCTGTATGGAAATGAAAAAACTCTATTCTCATTGATTCATAAATAACAGAGATTTTACGGTTTATCTGATACAGCAGCAAGTATTAGTTTAACTGATATAGATACTGTATCTTGAAACAGAAAACCTTGGGTAAGCAGAATGGTCTAGCAATAGGCTTAGATGTCGGAGCTCCATGTTATTCAACAGCAGCAACACATTATTAGTGTGTGCTATTACTGGCCATACCTTGGAAGGTATGAGAGAGACATACACACATAGGGGAGCTCAAGCAAGAATTACTTGTTTTGCAAGCAGCAATGAAAAGAAATACAAACAGATCAGAAATTTGGGCCTTTACAGGATATGAAAGGCCATCTGGTACTGGACCCCAAGCAGTAGAAAATAAGACTGAAAAAGGCTTTGAAAGACAAATGCCCTGTACAGAGTAGAATAAGGGTGTGGCTTTCCCACCAAAACTGCTGCCTCAAGATAGCCCCCATTAATTTGGGGAGTTAAGAATCAAAAGGAAAGAAAGAAAATTCAAGCTTGAGAATGTGTCTAGGAAAAACAGGTAGGTGCAACTACTAGCACATGGAACTGACTGAGGGCTAGATCATCAAAAGACAAAATAACAATTTAGTTTAAAGATCTAGTTGGCTTTTATTTGTGATTCTAGAATTGGGCAAGACCTCATTCTATAAAACAGAGTGTTCCAATAAGCTGATCAGAGCAGATTGATTTTATAGGCAGAAAAGGGTGAAACAGGCAGAAACAGAGAACAAAAGGCAGATTGATCCTTTTAAAGTTACTTTCCTTATATAGAATAAAGTGGAGGGGACTTCCTTATCATGTTGCCTAAAACTGGCCTGTTTGGGGATCTCTCTCTCTCTCTTGTCTTTTCTCAGAAGCTCAAACAACTTAGTTTCAGCTTAGTGATGTGGAACTTCAGCATGAGTGACTCCCTTTTGGTCTATTGGGTCTAGTGCAGGAGCTCAGTCCAAATCAATGGCCTCCTACAAACTTCATTCAATGAGATCAAAAGCCCACTGTATTTTTGAGAGAATTATGGTAGTAAAGAAACTTAGATCCAGGACTAAGACGACCTTGAACTGCCTGAGCCTTCAAATAACCTTCAGGCCCACAAATGTAAATCAGTAGCAGTGGATCTGCAAAGCTCTGCATTGCCTGAGAAGGTTCCACCCATCTGTCCATCTTAGCTGGCTCACAGAGTAAACATACCAGGGGCTGGGGCCTAGGGCCACAATGACCAACAAATAAAGGCGGATCTGGGTGCTAACCAAGGAATGTTCCCCATCCCCATCATGGCCCTTTACTGATGGACCAATGTCTACTGAGGGTACCCTAACCTTCCTTTTTCTAAAAGGGAATTTCTATAATAGTTATCCTGCCTCTGCTCTCTCACTGTATACTAGGTATGAGGAGGGAAGACCATTTGGTTCTTTATATATGTTGCTGGATTCTGAGGAGCCTCATCTGGCTCTGATGGAGGAAACAAAGTGTGACCAGTTATTCTAGTCTTTGTAGAGGAATTAAGATGTGTGGGAGGGAAGAAGTTTGTTCATGGATATTTGGTGGCTAGAGGGGCACACATGGCACAGACAGCCAGGTGTCCTATAATGATTCAAGATACATTCCCATAAGATAGAGTTGGTGCCAGAAGTAGCTGTCCAGCTAGTGACTATGCTGCTCTGCCTCCACTGCAGCTAAAAGTGGCCATGTGACCAAGCAATGCACAAAAGTGATGTACCCACTTCCAGAGTTGGACAATGAAGCCTTCCTGCATGATTCTCCACATTACCTTAGCTAAATACTTTCCTCCATGACTACTAGCTCCATGAAGGGAGAGGATAAGTCTGTTTTTACTCACCCCTGTATCCCTAGAGCCAGTCTCAGTGCCTGGTACATAATAGTTTTAAAAAGTTTCTAAAGTGAAGTTGCACAAAGTCTTACAGAGAGTATAAAGTGAGGGTGTTGAGATATAAAACCAGTGGCTGGCTTTATATCTCCAAAGCCCATGATCGTAATCGCTTTTCACACATTCATTCATTCATTCATTCATTCATTCATTCAATAAATATTTACTGAGGGCCGGGCGTGGTGGCTCATGCCTGTAATCCTAGCACTCTGGGAGGCCGAGGTGGCGTATTGCTTGAGGTCAGGAGTTCAAAACTAGCCTGAGCAAGAGCAAGATCCTGTCTCTACTATAAATAGAAAGAAATTAATTGGCCAACTAATCTATTTATAAAATATTAGCCGGGCATGGTGGTACATGCCTGTAGTCCCAGCTGCTTGGGAGGCTGAGGCAGTAGGATTGCTTGATCCCAGGAGTTTGAGGTTGCTGTGAGCTAGGCTGATGCCATGGCACTCACTCTAGCCTGTGCAACAAAGCGAGACTCTGTCTCAAAAAAAAAAAAAATTTACTGAGCATCTACTATGTGCCAGGCAGTGTTCTAGGCACTAAAAATCCGACCATGAACAAAGCAGACAAAACTTCCTCTCTTCATAAAGCTTACATTTTAGAGAGGAAGTCCAGTGGACAAAACTTAACAAAACAAAAAATAAGTAAAATAACATATTAGATATTAAGTACTCTGGAGAAAAATAAATGAAGAAAAATAAAGAATGAATGAGGCTGGGTGCTGTGGATTATGCCTGTAATTCCAGCACTTTGGGAGGCAAAGGTGGGAGGATCACTTGAGGCCAAGAGTTTGAGACCAGCTTGGGCAACATAATAAGACCCTGTCTCTTAAAAAAAAAAAAAGCAGCAAAGAAAAGAAAAGGAAAAAAAAAAGAAAGAAAGAAAGAAAAGAAAAGAAAGATTAGCCAGGTGTGGTGGCTAATGTGTCTGTAGTCCTAGCTAGTCAGGTGGCTGGGCAGGAGCCCAGGAATTCCAGGCTGCAATGAGCCATTATCGTGCCACTGCATTCTAGCGTAGGCAACAGAGTGAGACCCTGTCTCTGAAAAATAAATATATAAATAAATAGTGAATTTTCTAATACACGAACCAGAAAAACTAAACAAGGAGCTACCCATGAACAGATATGTGTCTGAAGATAACTTCCTCATACTTCCTGGGAGATGCTCTAAAGTAAATAAACATACACAGTTATCAATTTGGGAAAACAGCACTAAAATATAACCAACACTCAGCATATTTCCATATATTTCTGATAATTTCACATCCAACTTCTCCAAACATTAATGCAATTGTACATAATGACTCTAGGACTCTTCAAACACAGGAGGTAAATACTCCAGCTCATTGGGGGTAGACCTAATAAGAATCACACCACCATGGAGTTAATAAGATACTTAAGGGAACAAAAGCTAAAACTCTCATTTTTTAAACTATCAATAAGGTCCTAGGATTCATGGCAAAAAATACTGGTTTTACATTATTTAGCATTTACAGATCACTTATATTTGCCACATTATCTAATGTTTGCAGCAGTTTCTTTATTATACTAATCTTCTCTGTATGGTTCCAATTTTAGTATATGTGCTGCAAGCACTAATCTCTGCCCAGTGTAAGGAAGTCTGCCTGGTATAATATTCCCTTTTTCTACATTATACCCAGATATGAAGGTAGAGTGAAAACTAGTTTAGCCTCAACTTGACATCCACTGAGGATAATTCACTTCCATGATCAATTTTTAGTTTAGAGTGAGGAACAAGGGGCACAGTCACATGCTCCACTGAAAGAGAGGCGAAGAGTTCATACATCTCTGGGACGCCCTGTCTTAAGGGAAAACCTAAACCGGTTTTCTTCCCACCCATCCTCAGTTCTTCTACTCAAAATGTGAACTAGTGCACAAAAATATTGACACGGTGAAGTCTCTGTTTTCAATATTTTTTTTCTCGCTCTATCCCCATGCTAGAGTGCAGTGGCCTGATCATAGTTAAATGTAACCTTTAACTCTTGGGCTCAAGAGAGCCTCCCACCTCAGCCTCCGCAGGAGCTGGGACTACATGTGGGCGCCAAATGGTATTTTAAATATGCACTGCTGGCCAGTGTGGTACCTTCAGTCGGTATTTATCCTTTTCCGGAGCTCAAAGATCAAACAGCTGCTCCATCACGCAACCAAATGGAGGAATCACCACCTTGGTATGAGTCAAGGGACGTGAAGAACTACCGAGGCTGGCATGAGAACTTCTAGAGAGACAGGAAAGGGAGACACGCGGTCCGAGACAGAGGACTCCCCAGGTCTCCCCACAGAAGACGCTTTCATATTGATAAAAGGGTGAGTTCTTACCATCTGGTCCATCTGTCACCGCGTCGTGCTAAAGCGCACTTTACACACCATAAGCCTCAGATCAAACCTCAAAACCAAGCAGCTATGTTAAGATAGAAGAGTCTAAAGTCACTACTGGAAGATTCTTGCCAGGAGTAGTTTCCAACCTACTCTTGTTAGCAGTTTAAACACCTTAAAGGGAGGAATCTTTTTTTGGGCCTCCCTGGGCATGTTGGAGCTGACGGGACACTGCCTGCCCCGTGCTGAATCAATATTGTGACCGTGGTGGCACAGAGTGGGCAGAACTCAGAAACGGGGCGACACTAAGAGGAGCAGAGAACAGGTTACCTTCACCTGGGCTGGGCCAGAGGCGGCTCAAGCCGACCACTCAGTTCAGAAACCTCTGCCCGGACCCAGGGTCAGGCTCTGCGGGGATCCAGGTTCCCCTGAGAAGGTCGGGGATTCAGGGGGTGGGAGGTCGGGGTTCTCCGTGGGTGTCGGGACTCCCAGCGGATCCGGGTTCTTCAGGGGGTTCGGAGTTCCGGGGGTCGGCGGCGCCTGCTGGGCACTCACCTAGGCGTGCTTTCAGCAGCAGAGTGTTGGCCAAGACGTTCTCCAGGTCCAAGCTCCGCCGCCGCCGCCGCCTCGGGGCTCTGCGTGTTCGAGGAGGCGGGAGCAGCGCAGAAGGAGCCGCCGCTGCCACCTCCTCACAGCATCCCTCTCCGGGCGCCACCCGCTCGTCGGGCCCGATATCGGGCCCTGGGAGGCTGCCTCGCCGCCGCCGCCGCCGCCGTCCCCCGCGTCGCCACCACTGCCAGCACGGGCCCCGCCGCCGCCGACGACGACGCCGCCGACGCCGACGCCGACGCCGCCGCCGGCGGCGGCGCGGAGGTCGGCCCGCGGAGGCCTCGCCGCGGGCCCCAGCGAGGGGACGGCCGGGGCGAGGGGAGGAGGGGGCAGCCCGGCCGCCGCGAGTGTCCGCTGTCACCGCCGCCGCGCTGTAGCTCGGGCTCTTCTCAGCCCCAACGCCGTCGCCCAGCGCATGCAACTTCCTCTTCAGGGCCTGGCCTCTGGCAACCCCGAGTCACTGCCTAGGGGCTCACTGGCAGGGGCGCCGCCACCGGCGGCGGGGCGGCGACAGCTACTGCCGCTGCCGCCGCCGCCGCCGCCGCCGCCGCCCGCTACTCGTACACTCGCTGGCGCTGAGCTAACGGCTTTCCAGAGGAGGGCGCCGGAGCTCTCCCCTTGCAGCCACGCCAGAGGTGGTTGCGGCGCCTCGCGGGGCACTACAGCTCCCAGAAGGCTCCGCGCAGGGAGGACGCGGCGGGCCGCGGGGGCGTGGCCTGCTGGGAGTTATAGTCTCTCAGCCCGCTCCTGAGCGGAACTCTGGCAGTACCGCAATTCCCGGACCTGTCTACTCGCGATCTCTGGGAGCTTACGCAGCTACCGCGAGACAAGACTGTGGGCTGCCCCGCGGTTTGGCACGTGTTACCGTGGAGACGTGCTCGGCAGTCTGCAGTCTTCCGCAGCTGGGGTTTGCCTCCGGACAGGTTTATCTGCACCGCGTCTCGGAAACCTGGGAGGCACCGGCGCCTAGGGGTGCGACGGCTTGTGCGCGATGGGGAAGGCGAAGGCGGCTGGGACGCGGAGGAAGGCCTCGGCGGCGCTGTCGGGGGCGCGGCGAGGCCCGCCGAAGGCCTGCCACAACCCGTTCGAAGTGAAAGTCAACAGGCAGAAGTTTCAGATCCTGGGCAGGAAGACGCGCCACGACGTGGGGCTGCCCGGCGTGTCCCGCGCGCGGGCCGTCAGGAAGGTAAGCGGGCCGCGTCCCCTGCCCGCCATGGGCCTCCCTCCTCGCCCCGGCCGCCGCCCCTGCGCTTTGAACTTGCTCCCGGTAGCGCGGACTGCTGGGATCGGGGACCCATGCTGGCTGGCTGTGGCCTTGGGCCGGCTGCGTACTTCCTCGTGCCTCAGTACTTCCTCGTGCCTCAGTTTCCTCGTCTGTAAAATGGAGACCGTGATAGTTACATAGTACTGACTTCTTAAACTTCGTGCCTCAACTTTTCTATGGTCTGGAATGACTTTCTCCTGGAAAACTCTTGTCCGTTCTAGAGACCCTGCACACGTGATTTTTGGTGACTCCTCCAGCTGCCTCCGGCAGAGTTAATCTCTTCTGAGTTGCTGTGGCGTCCTGTACTTGTTCTAACCCTTCCTCACTTAGACTGTGAGCACTGCCGACCTAAGGGCCATGGATGAGGGCTTACACAGGATGCTTCTGAGATGTTTGGAGAATGAGTGTATCTCCCTGAGGCACATGACCTTGTCCTTTGGGAGATAACTGAAATGGTACCTTCTGTGGAAGGTCTCATTGCTTCCTTTCCTGTGCTTATGGTCCAGTCCCATAGTATTATTTACCTTCATTTCAAACTGAGTTCAGCAGCTGCCATCCTGTATGCAACTTAGGAGACATGTTTAATTGAAGTATCTATTGTTACTGGCAAAGATACATTAGTAGGTTGGTGAAAAATTAAGACAAAGAAAGGAGAAATAAATTTCCTAAGGTCACACAACTGGTAAGGGCTGGGGCATGCATTTAGGTCTTTAACGTCTGCAAAGCCTTTGTGCTACACTGCCTGCTTCTATTTAAGCTTTGTTCTAGCTGCGTGGAGATACAGGTAAATGAGACCTGGCCCCTGCCTTCAGGAACTGATGTTGTCACATAGTGTGCAATCCACATCTTTGCATCAAATCACATATCATCCTTACTGCAAGGAGATGACAGCATGTGTAATAGGCAAGACAAACTTAAAACTGACTTCAATAAGAGTCCTTCATTACCTACCCCAGGGCTGGGTGAAGGGTAGGCATAGGGGAACAGGATAGATAGTATGGCCTGTAGAATAGACACATGTGCGTTCACCACTTAAGCTTCAGTTTTCTCGTTTTATTTATTTTTTTTATCAGCATATTACAGGGGTACAAATGTTTAGGTTACATATATTGCCTTTTCCCCACTGAGTCAGAGCTTCAAGCATGTTCATCCCCCAGATGGTGTACACTGCATCCATTAGGTGTGAATATACCCATTCCCTCCTCCCCGCTCCTACCTGCCCAACACCCCGTGAATGTTACTACTATATGTGCCCTTAAGTGTTGGTCAGTTAATACCAATTTGATGGTGAGTACATATGATGCTTGTTTTTCTATTGTTATACTTCACTTAATAGAATGGGCTCCAGCTCTATCCAGGATAATACAAAAGGTACTAGATCACCATTGTTTTTTTGTGGCTAAGTAGAACTCTGTGGTGTACATATACCACATTTTATTAATCTACTCATGTATTGATGGGCACTTGGATTGTTTCCTCTCTTTTCTTTTTTGTAGAAAACTGCATCTTCTTTATTTTACATACTTTAATTTCAGAAAGTTTTCTCATTTCTTAAGCAGAGATAATGTACATCCTACCTTTCACAGTTGTGTATAAGAATGAAATAAGATAGTGCGTTTAGCACATATTAAGTGTTCTCTAAATACTAGCTATTCTTTTGTTTGTTTCTCTGTGTGTTTGACAGTCTCACTCTGTCACTCTGGATAGAATGCAGTGGTGTCATCATAGCTTGCCCAACCTCAGACATCTGGGCTCAAGCAGTCCTCCTGCCTCAGCCTCCCTAGTAGCTAGGACTACAGGCGTGTGCCACCACACCTGGCTAATTTTGTATTTTTTGTAGAGACCAGATCTTGCTCTTGCTCAGGCCGGTCTCAAACTCCTAAGCTTAAGGGATCCTCCCACCTTAGCCTACCTGAGGGCTAGGATTACAGGTGTGAGCAATATTAGCTATTAAACTTCAACTTCTTGGCTTGTTATTCTCAGACTCCTTCACAGTCTGGCTGTTGTCCTTCTTCACCTCTTGCATACTCTTGCTTTGTCCAAAAAGGCCTGCCTTATCTCCCAAAGTCTATAACGGGCCAGCCAGGTCACACCACTTCTATTACTTTACCAGGCTCCATAGCCAATATAGAATAGGTTGCTAAACCTCTGGAATCTGGCACGTCCACCTCCCTGCTTTGTGCTGAAGGCCTGAAAGGGACATTGCTGCTGCTCTTTGAATGCACGGTGCTTGGCTCATGGTAGAAACGCAGATCAAAAGTAGAACCTGAGTGCCTTAAGAGATCACAGACAGGAGAAAATGTAATAGAAAGTGAGAAAATTCTTCATAGACGAAATCCCATTCAAGTTCTATAGGGTGAGTGAGCTGTTCATGAACTGAGGGGAAACACACATGAAGGCACATTGTCCCAGCGTACTGAAAAGCCTGGAGCTCAGAGCTGTCTGAGGGGCAGCAGATTGTCCATTTGAGTCAAAGCTTGGTGTGTGTGTGTAGTGGTACAGGGGGCTGGCACAGTAGGCCTGGAACTTTTCATGTGTGCTTGGCAGTAAATGTGCTGTCCCGATTGTCTTCTCTCCACTGGTCAATCAGAGCACTTTGGGCACTTAGATAGCAATAAGAGGGCAGCGTTGTGTCAAGACTGCCAGGTGCCAGTCCCAGTACATCACTTTATAGCATAGCAGTTATTAATATAGTTATTGATTCCTTAAAGTGTGTCAGGCACTGTGCCACAAAATCCACATTTAATCTTCACAGTCATCCTTAGGAGGGAGAAGTACTGTTGTTTTCCCATTTTTTACCTGAGGAAACTGAGGCAAGGAGCAGTTATCTCACTTTCTTCGAGTCGGAAGTAGTGGGACTGAGCTGTTAGTAAAGCCAGACTCAATGCTTGATGTTTACATGCTTAGGCAATTACCTTGTGCCCAGCTCTGTCCTAAGCCATCTTCTCCCGTTAACTCGTAATCCTTTTAACAGGTGATCGAGGTCGGTACTGTGTTCTCTCCCCTTTACAGATATGGCGCCTCAGGGACAGGGATTAAATTAAGCACCTTACAAAGTCTTGGCCAGGAGGTTGTGGAGCTGGTAGGAGCTGGTTTCCACAATCTCAAGGTCACCTGCTAGGTCTATGTGAGGTGCCCTCTGGAACTCCTGTTGTTGGTGAGGTGTCCTGATGAGTGAGACCCCCTGTTTCTGTCCTAGGTAATTTCTCTGTGTGTGCCCCTGAGGTGCTGGTTGAGGCCTTTGGAGATATATGTTCAGTGGGCAAGGATTCTGTCCTGCCAGCTGTGGTGCCTCTGTGTTGTAAACTTAAGGAGCCTCTGGACAGTGGGTGTGTGACTTGTTTGTAGAGCTATGTAAGCAGGATCTGCCATAAATGTGGGCCTCCTTTATGTTTTGCTGTCTGCCCTGACTCCTCCTTCTTGAGTTAAATATAGCCCAAAAATATTTACACCATTTCTTGTCAACTCTTAGGTCGTTAAATATGAAATGCCCAATTTTGAATCAAAAGTGTGGCATATTATATCTCAAGCAAGAAGCAGTACAATTAAAGTATGTGCCTGAAGTATTGACACAGTTTTGCCATCTTAACGGTAGCTTGTTTATGCCAGCAGCAAAGAAGCCTGGAGAGCAAGTGGTGATGAAATCACAAAAAGTGTTTTCTACAGTTTGTTGAGAATGGAATAGTTTTCCTTGGAAGAAGTGGTCCACAGCCTGGAAGAAGTGGTAGTCAGTTGGTGCAAGGACTGACGAATATAGTGGATGACAGAGTTTTCAAGTTCAGCTTCTCTAGTTTGAACACCATTGTTTGTGCAACACATGGTCAAGCATTGTCTTGCGAGAGGATTGGCCTTGTCTCTATTGGCCAATCTTGGCTGCTTAATCCCAAGCATCCTCATCATTTTGACCAATTGGTTGCAGCAGACATCTGCTATGATCGATTGACCAAGTTTCATGAAGCTGTAGAGGATAATACCAGCGCAGGACCACCAAACAGACACCATTAGCTTTTTTGGATAAATATTTGGTTTTGGACTGTGTTTCAGCACTTCATCTTTATTCAACCATTGTACTGAACACTTTCAATTGTCAAAAATCCACTTTCATCACATGTAACAATACAGTGTAGAAATGGTTTGCCTTTATGTCGTGACA